AAAGGATCTAAGATATACGCTAAGAGAACGCTAAACTGTACGCTAAAATATCTAAGACATACTCTAAACACTAATAATGCAAACTAATACGGTATATTAAACAGCAGTCTGAACATGAGTCTGTGGTGAGCAGATGGGTATGAATGAATACAGCAGCATGAGGTAATCAGCAGTATATCAGCAACATGGATAATCAGCAGCACAGATAAGTCACATATCACCAATTAAAGTGGGATTACAATGATTTGTTTTTTCTCCCCTTACAGTGATTATCCTGGTTTATGAGTCTTAACAGCTTCAGGGTAGAAGCTGTTCCTCAGTCTAGTAGTGCCTGTCATGATAATAAATTTTGCTGGGCGATAAATAGTCTCAGAAATTATTGCGATAAACAATAATATTGTTTGAAATTTGACAATAATTAGTAATTATTGTCAAATTTAAGAAGAACTGTTGGTTAACTTGTTTGAGTATAGTACTTTTTTTGACCACCGAATGGCAGTATAAGACTGTTTGAACCGAAGGATGGATAGTGAGGGAGCGAGCAATGTGTCTCTTTATGAAAAATGGGAGGGAGGCCTCTTGACGTGACATGGGCTGTCTCTGCTTCCTTTTTTCAGTTATCAAAATGGTGGATGCTCAGTGTGGTTTGAGCTCTTTAGCATAGCATTTTTCACACAAAGCTTTTAATAAAAATCAGTAAACAAGTTCTCGGCTTCTTTTTGCAGAGAAAAAAACTTTTTACATGAAGGCACGGGTTTCAACCGTGAATTTTGGAGCTAGAACAAGACTGAGGTTTTTATCGAGGTCGGCCTGTTAGCTTAGCTCGTAGCTTAGCTTAGCTTAGCTACTTTTAATGATCCAAAAACGCGATTTTGGACGGTTAAAACAGATTTTAAAGAGAAAGGGAGGGGCTCAGTGAAGGGCACGGGAGTTGAGCAGTGTTTTCAGTAGAAAGGAGGAGACCAAGAAATGATAAAGCCGATAATGAAAATGTGGTCGATAATTTTTATTTATCATGCGATTCTCAAAACTCTTTATCGCGACAGGCCTATTGGTTCCCAAACTTAAGTCGTCAAATGATCTGAACTGTTGCTTTAAAAACAAAAGTAAACCAACAAACGTTCAGTATGGCACTCAGACCAAAAAAATAATTTGGATAGTTTCAGAAAAAGTTCTCGTCGTATCTGAAGGTCAACATTTGATTTGTGTTTGTTTTTCTGATGTTTCCTGCTAGTGGACCCTGGCACACTGCGCCATGGAGAGACGGTAATTATCGCCCTGGTAACCGTCTCCGTGCTGGCTGTGGTCGCTGTAGCAGTCTTCTTTGGTTACCGCATGATGCACGGTGAGTTTCCATGGCGCCGCGCTCTCAGGACGAGCAGGGAACATTGATTATTTAGGGCTCTTTGAATGCTTTTGATAGAATTTCATCTCTTTTCACTTCCAAAACCAGAGCCAGTCTTTCACTTGAATTCATTAAATCTTTAATTCTGTGTGTATTAACAGGAGATGGTAAACAAGGCCTGCACAATCTGAATATGATGGAAGCTGCTGGCTCCGAGAGCTCTCTGGACCTCGACAATCTCAAACTGCTGGAGGTCAGTGCCCACGTTTAAGATTTACGCACTGTAGTCCTCTGTTTATCAGCATCACTTGGCATGTGAAAGAATCATTATAAACACGTAGTCCTCTTATTTCAGCGTATGACAGGGAGGAAATGAGAGCTCGGGAAAAGAAAAAGAAAAGACGAAAGCAGTGAGACTAAAATACATCAAGGTTTTTAGTTCCTTTCGTCGTTTCAATGTGACTTTTATCATCTGATCACAGCAGAATGAAAGAAGTGACAGGTCAGGTGTACGGAAATAGAAATTCGCTTTCACCGACACATGATCTGGAAAACTTGAAATGGAAGCGAGAAGGCTTCCTATCCTGATAGAAGGTCAATAAAGTTTGGAAGATTTTCAGCTACAGTGTCGTCGATAAGCACAAGACGAGACTCGGGAGTTGATTTAGGTTCGTTTGTCATTTCGTCTGCAATAAGAACACATGTTCACACTTTTTACTGGTTCCGGGCTAAACATTAAACTATTCTGGCAGTCCTTAAAAGTATAATAGATTCATCTACCTTAACAAAAATGGCCATTTAACTTCCCACTGCTTAGAAATGAGAAGAGAGACAACGCTTCACCCTTTCCCTGGAACATACAGTGCTCCGAATATGATTGTTTGGCTCCACCCACAAGTAGCAGTTAGCGCCAGTCGACTATTGAATAAATCTAGACATCCGACAAGACCCTGAATTTGAAGTGGGAACAGAAATGGCATCCCCTCAACTGGTTGCAGAACAAGTTTTAAGTCCCGCCCCCTCCATTTTTAACAAACGGGACCTACACGCTTCAGATAAATTATTTAGGTGTTGATTCATTCATGTGCTATGTTCAAACATTCATTTTTCTAATACGTTCAGCTGCATTTAGTTATTTTGGGCTTAAAAGAAAGGTCATGTGACGCCATGGTTGTGTTTGGGGGAGTAGGCGGGGCTAAAAGCTCCATATCCTGAGTGCACAGACTCTGGTTCCAAAAATACAACACATTTTCCATAAACAACAACTCGTGTCTTCTTTTTTTAACAATGAAAGAAAACAGAATGAACAACAACACGGACAAAGCGTCTAACATTTTCACACAGCAACACGCACAACTTTACTACAAAGAAATTCACAAGTGTTCATGGCGCGCTTTGCCCAACGCTAATCAACGTGTCTACAGAACATGCTATTTATGTTGCTACAAGCTAAGCAAAACTAAGTCCTTATGATGCGTTTCTAAACGGAAAAAATACCAACACATGTGAGAGAAGGCAACGATACAAACATCTTGTTTTATCAAAATAAAGGCAAACATTAGCAGCTGTTTCATGATTTAGGTCTATTTTCTGTCTTTGATGGAAGAGATTGTAGAGAGACGCTTGCATCCCTTTGCCAGTGGGCAGTTTCCAATTTGTAATTCTTTCCACATAAAACTTGTCGTGCCTACCCTGGTTTAGATATTCTTTTTAGGGATGCACGATATTGGATTTTTGGCCGATGCCGATATTTTTATATGCTTTCCTTTGTCCGAACGTAGCCCTATTATTTAGGCTTATTTGCTACAAAAATTGTGTAACATCTGTAAGAGCTGGTGACATATATTCAGTAACAGCCATATGATATGCAGAGCACTTTAACTTATATTAAATGAAAAGTGTTAAATGTTATTTATTAGCATTAGTCACCTGCGATACTGTCTCACTTGTGGAGGCTTGTTCCAGGTTCCTATAACTGCAGTGTGGGATCCTCTGCTCTCTTGTGCATGAAGGACAGCCTTTTTAAGATCTAAGTTTTTGTCGATCCATTGTGCCGTAAGACTAATCATGCTAACGGGGCTAACACGACGTCCAAACGCCTGTGGTAAAACTCACTCGTGTGCTATCGGCTATTAGCTTCTCAATGACGTTGGAAATGACGGCTTGTAACTCGGGTAAGGCTACGTCGGAAAAATATCTCTGACTGGGGACGATGTAGCGAGGCTCGACGTAGTTTAAAAATCTTCAGAATCCGACATCCTCAATGACAAAAACTTTCCACACCGCCGTGATCAGATCAGGTAGGCACGCGTGACGTCATCACGTTGTGCAGGCACTGCAGGCATCCTTGTCACTGGGTTGTCATACAAAAACAGCGTCTTTTATATCCGAGTTATTTTGATGGAATGTCCGATATTGAACTTAAACGCTAATATCATCCGATACCATGCCGATAATATCGTGCATCCCCAATTCTTTTAACATAGTTTTCTTTGCTTAAAATATATTATATCCACATTATTTCTTGCAGACACTGAAGGATCCACAGCCCAACAATGCATCGAAATGCAGAGAACGGACATTCTTAGCTTGAATAGCAAAACACCTAAACCTATTTAAATTTTGATACTGTTTAAACTTGCCCATGTTATTACCCGTTTCAGCACACAGCCGAAGTTTGACAGCTACAGGACGAACATAAATCCAGTTATTTTATTTAACCTTTATTCAACCAGGCAATTCTCATTGAGATCACAGATCTCTTTTGCAAGGAAGTCCTGGGCCTAAAGGCAGCCTAACATGCATGTTTTTGATCTGTGGGAGGAAACCGGAGTGCCCGGAGAAAACCCACGCAAGCACGAGAAGAACATGCAAACACCACCCAGAAAGACCCCGGATCCAAATGGGGATTGAACCCAGGACTTCCTTGCTGTGAGGCAACAGTGCTAACCACTGAGCCATCACGATGCCAGTAAATCGTAAATAAAGTGAAATAGATATAGAAATAAAGGTCAAAGTGGCTCCGTTGTTGTCGTGGTTTCTACGACTCAAAAGTTCCCAGAAATAAAACGTTGTTTTGTGAAGAGCTATTTTGACTCCAAGCTGATCAAACAAAAATATTTTTAAACATTTGGGAAGTATTTTTATTAGAAACCATTAAAGTCACCTGGAGTAGCAGGGCACCTGCACCTGTAAAGCACCGTGGGTGGTTAGGAAACAACTGTGCTCAGGAACACTAGGTTTAAAAACAAAAAAAGTGCCTATCAAAACTAGAGTTGGATAAATTTAGACGACTGTTTACATTTTTAAAATTCATTCCTGTTCAAGAGACCTGTGGAAACAGAGTCCCTGCAGCTGAATTAGATATCTCATCATGTTTCTTGTATAGGTTATATGTAGCAGGATATTTTTTCTAGATGTATCGCAGGATACCAGCCCCTCCCTTTTTGTTTGTCTGAACTTCCTGAAGTTTTTCAGGCACAGTTTGTTTCATGCCTTGAAAATGGATCCTTGTTACTAAACTCCCTGACACCAGCCCGACGTAGTAGATCTTCTGTTTGCTCAGCAGTTGTGACTTTCACTAAAAGTAGCTGTTAGTCATTTTCAGCCCAGAGATTTAATGAGCAGATCTTAGTAGCTGGAGTTTAATTCACACTAGACCTGTCATGATAACAAATTTTGCTGGGCGATTAATTGTCTCAGAAATTATTGCGATAAACGATAATATTGTTTGAAATTTGACAATAATTAGTAATTATTGTCAAATTTAAGAAGTGTTTAATTTGTTTTGTGTGTAGTACCTTTTTCAACCACTGGATGGCAGTATAAGGCTGTTTGACCCGAAGGATGGCTAGTGAGGGAGCGAGCAGCGTGTCTCTTTAAGAACAATGGGAGGGAGGCCCCTTGACGTGACATGGGCTCTCTCTCTTTGGTTCTCAAAATGGTGGCTGCTCAGTGTGATTTGAGCTCTTTAGCATAGCATTTTTCCCACAAAGCTTTTAATTAAAAACGGTAAACAAGTTCTCAGCTTCTTTTTGCAGAGAAAAACAACTTTTTACACGAAGGCACGGGTTCCAACTGTGAATTCTGGAGCTTCGACAAGACGTTTTTTTTCCCCCGAGGTCGGCCTGTTAGTTTTAGCTCGTAGCTTAACTTCTCAGCTTAGCTGCTTTTAATTATCCCAAACACAATTTTTGACTGTTTAAATGGATTTTAAAGATAAAGGGAAGGGTCGGTAAAGAGCACCGGAGTTGAGCCTTTTGTCATCCAGTGTCTTCAGTAGAAGGAGAGCGATGAAGAAACAATAAAGCTGATAAATGAAAATGAGGTCGATAAATTTCATTTATCATGAGATTAATTGATTTATTGTTTATTGCGACAGGCCTAATCCACACTGCTGTCCTTGCCTTATCACGTGCTTGAAAACTCCCTGCCTGTTGGGGGGGCAGGGAGCCTTAAGCTCAGACTAAACATCTTCACTGTTTTTCATTGTGTGTGTGTTTTTTAGCCTGAGATAAGTGCCCGAAGGTAGAAATGTAACAAGTGTGCCGCTGAATTCTCTCCCTTCGTTCCAGCTTGCTGTGCTTCGACTAATTCAGGACCCTAATTGAGTTGGGAGCCATTTTATCTGTTGAGTCCTGTTGTTTGTGATTTCATTGATTTCCGCCTGCACTCTCCTGAATCTTTTAAAAGCAGTCTATAATGTGTCCACAAGTCTTCAGCTGTTCTTTCCTCACCCAACCCTTCAGCTGGTCGGGCGTGGCAGATATGGCACCGTGTACTGTGGCTCTCTGGACGAGCGGCCCGTCGCTGTGAAGGTGTTTACCGCAGCCAATCGGCAGAACTTCATCAACGAATGCTCCATCTACCGCCTGCCCCTGCTGGAGCACGACAACATCGCTCGGTTTGTTGCTGCCGATGAGCGGACGGGCCCTGAAGGACGTACGGAGTACCTGTTGGTGCTGGACTACTATCCACATGTGAGTAATGGGGAGGAGGACACGTTTACAACGCTCATGCACCGAGCCCTTTATTCAACCAAGCAGGAAAAAGTGGATTACAGAATCCAACCATAAATTTCAGAGTATTGTTAGATTTGTTTTAATTTTGCAAATTCAATGAGTCAGAGTCATGAATCATGAGTCAACGGCAGAGCAGCCATGTTACTATTGCAATGGTTTATTAAATACTTATTTAAAACCTCTTCAGTTGATCCAAAATTCTGCTGCCAGAGTCTTTACTGGAGTTAGTGGGAGAGATCATCTCTCCAGTTTTAGCTTCTCTCCATTGGCTCCCTGTCAAATCCAGAATAGAATTCAAAGTCTTGCTTCTAACCTACAAAGCCCTCAACAACCTAGATCCATCTTATATTACAGATCTTATTGTTCCATATTTTCCCAATGGAGCACTTCGCTCTCGGACTGCAGGTTTACTTGCGGTTCCTAGAGTTTCCAAAAGCGGAATTGGAGGAAGATCTTTTCGTTATCAGGCTCCTCTCTTGTGGAACCAACTTCCAGTTTCTGTCCATGAGGCTGACACATTGTCCAGTTTTAGTACTGGGATTAAGACTTGCCTTTTTGATAAATCCTATAGTTAGGGTTGGCTTGTTATGCTGCTATAGACTTAGACTACTGGATGACAAATTGACCTCATTTCCTTAAATGATTTGCCAAAATTGAATCGTTTTCATTTGATACTATTTCCATCTTAACATGTGATTCTTGACCTGCTATTGTGTATCTATTCCTACCAAACCCAGCCAGTCGAAGCAGATGATTGCTTATCCTGAGCCTGGTTCTGCTAAAAGTTCTTCTTCATGAGGGAGTTTTTCTTTTCCACTGTCGCCTTCGTGCTTGCTCAAGATGAGAGTTCTGCGATGGAGTTAAACTCGAAGCAGTCTGCTCCTCAGATAAATAATGTTTGATTACTTTTTTTATATAAATGTTTCTGTTCAGTGCCCTGAGATGACTTCTGTTGTGACTTGGCGTTATATAAATAAATTTAATTGAAATGTACTGACGCTGTTCTGGGATTAAATCCAGATGCATCGGCGTATTACTTCTTCGTATCGATAAAATCCGATTAAATATTAAATGAAAAGTCTGTTATCAGGTTTGTGTCATAAAACAGCTTAGAAGATGGCAAAAACATTAATTTACGTTTGATTGAAGAACGTATGTCCTGTATACCGTTCATTTAGTGTACAGGTTTTGTTCCTGCTGTTCCGTGGTGGTTTCTCATTAGTGACACCTACAGTTCACGCGGAGAACTGCAGCAGCGTCTGTCTAAACGGCACCAAACACTCTGAAAGGGGGCTTCAACCTCCAATCTTCACCTCCCTCATTTGTTATGAAGAGCCGTGGTGAAGTTTTCCAGAAATGACTCACAAGTTTAGAGAATATAAAAAAGAAAATTATATCTTTTATGAACGTTTTATTGTCACATGGTTGATTGGAACTGTAATGTGATGTTACCACTCACCGAAGTTATATTGAGACACTATTTATCCACCACGATTAGACATTTGTTCTGTTAAAATTTTGGTTATATCATGAAACCCTCCTAAAAATTGTGAAAAAATACAAACTAAATAAAAGATAAGAGTTTAGAAAGGGTCTGAAATTGAATTCTGCCTTTTATTTGAGAACATTTAAAACTGCTTAAGAGAATTTGTCAACAAGAAAGTTTAGAAAAAGGAAGAAAAGAGTTCTATCTTCCCAACTATATTTACAAAAATAGCCGTATTGTCTGCCGTACACGTCGACCGCCCTATAAGTCTCATCAGTCCAAATATGTCTAATAAAGTGGAAAAATCCATAAATGCGTCACTTCACCGTATAAATCGCATCTATTACGCATCAGCGCTGACGACCTGGAAATATAGGCCGGTGTACAAGTCGTGTAAATTATGCAAAAAACTGCGACTTATAGGCCGAAAAATACGGTAATCTGAAGTTGCGTATAAGTAGGGATGAGCTGCGCCTAAGAGCTTACCACTTAAATCTAAATGTAAAGACTGTAACTTGTTACGGTATCGGTTAAAATAAAAAGTTGCCATCGCATCACACATCTTTTCCAGTAGAGATAAACATCAACGTATTTTAATTTAAAATTAAAACGACTCCACGTCCTAAAATTTCCAGAGGGAACTCGTGGAGTTCAGTGAACAAGCTTCGCCCAGACCCCGAGCTAATCCCGGGTCCGGTGCACAGGAGAAGACTTTGCAGGCGTTTGGTCTTAACGCGCGTTGTCATGGCAACGCAGCGCACGCCACGACTCGTAATGCGCTCGAGTGAATTATTGATGTGATTTATCCACAATGATGCGATCTAATGTCATTTTCTTCAGTAACAGATGCTGGAGTCGTTTTGTCATTGATTTTGAGAGATGATGTTAGAAGCGTGTCTCTTTGGCTTTTTTGTGTATTTATTCAAAAAAAAATGGAAGGGCAAATAATGGATTATTGAGTCTATCGGAAAGAAAATTAATAACGTGGAACATCGTAATTGTCCAAAGACGATGTCGTCTTCAAACATAAGTTCATTTCCTTCATCTTCTCCACCTTCCTCTTCGTTTTCTTCTTGTTTGTTTCTTTCATCCTTTTCTACATCTCCTCCATCCTCTTCTTCCTTCTCTACATTTTTCTGGCCTCTTTTTTTCCTTGTTACCTTGTTTTTTTTACTTCTTTTTCTAATTCTTTTGTACTATTTATTTTACTTACTTAGCTTCTTTTACTTTTTCCCTCTTGGATCTTTAAGACTTCTCGATGTGAAATCGGCGTAATGGGTGGTCGGTCTTCAAATCTTCGTTAGGTTCTGGTGGTAAACTTGTGTCTTTGTGAACGTGCTTCCATCGTCGGTCAAAGGATGTTGAACCTATTAACAAAGTCAGGTCCTCTGAACAGATTCTTCATGTTGAAACTTTTCGTCTTTTATCCAAAAGACTTTAAGAAACCTTTAGCAGAACCAGGCTCAGGACAAGCGGCCATCTGCTTTGACCTATGAGAGGAATAGATACACAATGGCAGGTCAAGAATCACGTTAAGATAGAAATAGTATCAAAGGAAAACTGTTCAATTTTAGCAAATCATTTTAAGAAACGCGGTCAGTTTGTCATCCATTAGTCTTGTCTATAGCAGCATAACAAGCCAACCCTAACTATAGGATTTATCAAAAAGGAAAGTCTTCAGCCCAGTCTTAAAACTGGACAATGTGTCAGTCTTACGGACGGAAACTGGAAGTTGGTTCCACAAGAGAGGAGCCTGATAACTGAAAGATCTTCCTACTGTTCTGCTTTTGGAAACTCTAGGAACCACAAGTAAACCTGCAGACTGAGAGTGAAGTGCTCTGTTAGGAAAACTTGGAACAATAAAATCTGTAATATAAGATGGAGCTAGGTTGTTGAGAGCTTTGTATGTTAGATGTAAGATTTTGAATTCTGGACTTGACAGGGAGCCAGTGGAGAGAAGCTAAAACTGGAGAGATATGATCTCTCCCACCAACTCCAGTTAAGACGCTGGCAGCAGAATTTTGGATTAACTGAAGACGTTTTAAAGAAGTTTTTGGACACCCAGATAATAAACCATTGCAACCATTGCAATTTTTTAGCAAACAGCCATCAGGGCACTAACGACCAGTCCTTAGACTGTTGGTCCTCCTTTATCATGTGACGGCTAGTTCTGCATGTCTGCAGCAAACTGGTTGATCCACTATGAGAAGGTGCTATTTATAAGACTGAGTTTGTTGCAGCTCCTCAGACTGAATAAGTCTTTTGGATAAAAGACAAAACGTTTCAACAACAAGAATCCATCCAGAGGACCCGACTTCACTTCGCTAAATTTTTCTACCTGGATTATTGAGCATGCGTCAGGAGATGTTGAACCTACAGTACGTGACTCCTCCTCCTGTCCTCCTCAGGGGGCTCTGAGCCGCTACCTGGGCATCCAGACCAACGACTGGATCAGCAGCTGCCGGCTGGCTCACTCGGTCACCCGGGGCCTGGCGTACCTGCACACGGAGCTCTACAAAGGAGGTAAACCTGAAGACATGCAGACGCAGCTTAGATCCTCAGGCTGACGCTGGACACAAACTGATACTAAGAGTCGTGGGCTGAAAGGAGGAAGCACCTGTTGGCAAATAGAACAACTTTAACACATTTATTTTTCACCAAAATAAATACATGAAAACTAAAAATATGGAGTTTATGGTTTAACACTCGTAAAGGGCGAAAAGCACAGGTGCATTTCTCGCTTGGAGGTTTGTGTTTCTGCAGCAGCTCTTTGTGCTGATCGTCCTGTATTGACGGGGCCGTTTCATATCAAAAGTTGTAAAAATAAATCTATAAAAAGGAGAGGTGAGATTAGGGTTTGAAAGTGGCAGAAAAGTTCCCTGAAACTTTCTGGAAACTTTCCACAGGAATTTATGGAAGTTAGCTGGACATTTAGAGAATTTGAACAAACCGTTTTTGCAATGTTTCCCCAACGGTATTGACAATTCTTCTTTTTTTTTTATTAAAAATTTCTCATTTGTTCCCATAAATCCTGTAGACGCTTGTTAATTACCATAAAGTTTCCAACTTTAAAAAAAACAGAATTTTGTAACCCCTAAGAACGATGAATTTGGGAATTTAAGGACATTTGTGACCCAAAATGTCACAAATAAACCAATGAACATGATAAAAAAAAAAAGATACTGGTGATCCAAAATGAGTTCATAAACCCCATTTAGCCATCTAAAAAAAATATATTTTAAAAAATTTTCTTAATCTACTTTTACTTTTTCTATCAGTGCACAATACAGATGCGCTAGTTTTCTGTTTTCCATTTTTCCCTCATGCTGAGTTTTCTCCACCCCCACTCAAAAACTGTTGGTACAAACAAACAACATGCAACACAGATGTGTCCGTCCCCCCCACCCCCCGTCAGCAAAAAACATGGACGATATGAGCGCAGTGCCCTGCCAAGGCAAGTAAACGAGGGGAAACACTGGACAGAGTCCACCTCGTGATTCAGCCGCTTGTTGAAACGTCTTTTCTTTTTGTCAAACAAGTACCGTATTTTCTGCCGTACACGTTGCGTCTGTCCATATTTGTTTAAAAAAGTGGGGGGAAAAATCCGTAAATATGTCGCTTCACCGTATATGTCACATCTATTATGCGTCACTGCTGATGTGTCGCTTTTGTTGCGCGTCACAGCTGACAACCCGGAAATGTGGGCCGGTGTTGTGCCAAAAATCGATGGGCTGCCTCGGTGCTCCGGGAGCACAGAGGGAAGAAATCGGGAAGGAGGAACGCTGTTCGTTTCTTCGAAATTTAACAAGAAAAGCACCTAAACAATCCAACAAGTTTCAGTCAGGTCATCTGGACAGTTTCTTTTTTTGCTGAAACGTTTCACCTTCCATCCAGAAGGCTTCATCAGTCAAGGAAACACACAACGCATGATTTTTTCTTTTCCTCCCCAAACAGCTTACTCCAAAGTGGAACAAGCCAGTTATGTTGGTGCTAAGACGGTGTCTTTGGCACGCCCCCTCCTCTGTTGCCGGCCCTCTTCCTCGTCGACAGTCATGTCAAACTGGTTCAAAAACCAACAAAGTCCATGCTCAATAATCCAGGTATACAATCCAACAATTTTCAGTTAGGTCATCTGGTCAGTTTCTTTTTTTGCTTTTTTTGACATGACTGTCGACGAGGAAAAGGGCCGGCAACAGAGGAGGGGGCGTGCCAAAGACACCATCTTATCACCAATATAACTGGTTTGTTCCACTTTGGAGTAAGCTGTTTGGGAGAAGAATCTGTTGTGTTGTGTGTTTCCTTGACTGATGAAGCCTTCCGGATAGAAGGTGAAACGTTTCTGCAAAAAAAGAAACTGTCCAGATGACCTGACTAAAAATTGTTGGATTGTATACCTGGATTATTGAGCATGGACCTTTTTTGGTTCAACTAAACAATTGTTTGTTTGCTCGAACTTATAGCAAAGGTGTGTCTGAGTTGAACTTTTGCTTAATAAATGCACTTTAATGGTTGAATAAGCTGCATTTTGCCGGGGCGGTGCAGCTGGTTCAACTTGTTCCAAGCACGGAGCAGAATGAAGTTGGGGGTAATGTGGCAAGCTGATTGTGTCGTTAATAGCTGGTGAAGATTCTCAGTCATCCAGGACATGGTAAATTCAAAAAAGTTCAAGAAAAAAAAACACAATAAAGTATAATAAA